GAATCTTCCAATAAAACCAATCGACAGCTGGTCAAGAGGAGTCCGCCGTCGTCTTCTGGTGGAACCGACCATCGGATCTCTTCACCCAACACTTTAACTCGAAATGGAAGTAAGCTCAACATTTATATTATTTATCAGACTGCCAGATATCATTGGCTAAATTTTATCGCATCGCGCGAGATTTTAATTGAATTTTTTTTCCTGTTTCCAAGTGTACGAGGTACCTTGGTTAAGTGACCTCTAATTAGTTGTTGGACGATTATACAAGATAACCTCCATCTCACCCTAACTGGCAGTCTAAATTTGCAAAAAAAACACGTATCCGAAATTTGGCGTAGCTCAAACTATTTACTAATCTTCTAAGGATTGGGTATGATTCATAGATAAATGTTGTTTTGTTTATATGGCATTATTAACTGGTTAGCTTCATTTAGCACTGACACTGTAACTTGGTTTAATGGATTAATCTTAATTAATTTTGTAAGAAATGAACTTGTCTTTCTGTACCGAACTAGATGACTATATGTTTTTAATACATATCTTCTCACAGGGCAGTCGTGACTGGTCCGATGTAGGTGATGCTCGATCTACTCTCTTAGGTCGCCGTCTTCAAGCTGGAAATCGAGTACCAAGCCTCTCTCTGCCATCAGATCACATAGGCCAATTGGAAATCAACGTAGCTACAGCCCACCGCGCCCCCTCTTTATACCAAGAGCTACAGCATGGACTCTTTTCCCCACATCAGCCTCATGAGATACTTCACTCCAGCCCATCAACTCTGGATGAAGTTGACACCGACAAGCTGCGTGGTCTGGCCCAATGGCAAGCCGTATTTAATGAAGTTGACCAATTCGACATTGAAGCCGAAGAGCTAGAAAATGCATTTCCAACAGTTTCGAGTTTAGGCTCCTCTTCAACATCAGCGGAAGAGGAGGAAAATGAAATGCTAGAAGGTGGCCTGCGCTTTTCCTCTGCTGAATCGATGCCATTTACAGGTGGCTCTGGAGGAAAGCAGATCTCAGAAGGAGGGGTCAGTGGTGATGTCAAAGACAGTGTCAGAGTTCTCGGCCCTGGACACAATAGATTATCACTCGGTCTGCTAGTTCGTAGTGAAGCGGGGCCGTTAAGTGATCGAGCCCACCAGCTAACTTACTCTAGTTTACTTCTTTCTCTCACTACCCTTCTTCTCCTTCCAATTATCCTGAAATTGCGCGTGCAATCAGATTCCTGAATTCGCTATGAGTGGCTAAATCATCAGTGGTAGCGGGAATTTCAACGTCGATCTCCTTCTCAAATAGGACTGGACAGTCATGGTCGAGCGTTTCCACTCTCATCTATCCATCACATTCTCGTCGCATACCGCCATCCGAACATTTAGACTACATTGTCACTGACTTTCTTTGCATCTATTTTCTTGTATACATTTTAACATCGGCTCAAGATGACATGAGATGCGGATGTGTAAAAATATCCCACATATGAATTCCGATGAGTTAACAACTAGCTACCAGCAGACTAATTCTGTTGATTTTCCTTGTTGCATGGCCGCGGTTTTTTCATCCTAAATTACACCTATTTGTAACTTATTGTAATTTATTTTCTTGCCTATTTTACCAAATGATTTAAATTTAACAAGGCCTTAGTCGCTTTCTTCTTGGAAGAGTTCGCAAATTGTCTGATTCTTCTTAAGCAGCTAGTGCAATTTTGGCAATCACTTTTAAAATAGTGGAGAACCATATCTTTCAAAGACTCTCTATAGACTTGCATTCTTGTGTTTGCCAAAGTTTGACAATCGGAATACAGGAATCTCCAAGTCTTTGCTAGCCGAGGCCGGGACTCCGGTTTTTGCCGCCTCTTTGATAATGGGCGAACCAAAAATCACAAGTCAAGGCATCCACTTTATTCTCTACACTTACCTTTCTGTTGCTCTACTTTTTCTCAGGGTGAATGTTTGCTTCTTCCTGATTCTTTTTATCCCTCACTCTACCTCTATCTCTATCTGTGTGTCTCTGTGTCTGTATGCCTCTATATGTGTATACGTGTAGATCACTTTATATGTCTGTCTGATTTTTCACATATTTTCATACCATCTCGTGTTTATTCTTACTCGATCATTCTCTCTGTATGGCTGTATGCATGTATTTGTTTATTTACGGATGCATGCATGCATAATTGCGTCTACTTGCATACACTTTTATGGTCTATCTTTGTACACTTATCTCATGTTTGAGGGGCTCCCATTCACTGATTTACTTTTATTCCACCCAAAGACAAGATATTGCGTTTCATTAATGAATCTATTTTAATCATACTTTT